TATATATATATATATATATATATATATATATATAGTAAACATTAGGAAGTGAACTGTAACTACAGCAAATATAAAGTCTTCTCTGTCTTCAATACCCGTTACTTGTCAGCGGTTTCCAGCGGCGGGCGTTCCCCTTTCCTCTGCGTTCCTGAACTGACCTCGGCCTCAGCTACCAGCCTCTCACTTCTCACAACTGCAACTCTCAACTGGCTCAAGCAAGTCAAATTCAAACTTATGTTACCACGACGGTCAGTCGGCCAGTCTCTCTTGGCATCAAACACACATCTGGGACCCAAGAACAGAATTTTATTACTGCCAAACAGTTGCGGATTTGTTGATGTTGGGTGTCCTGTCTGATAAGATGACAGGTCTGTCGTTTACAACTGCTGCTGGTCCCTGCCAGCGCAGTCATTCTCGGGTTCAAGTCCCACAGGACTCATGACCATATTTTACTGTCTCAGATTCAAGACTTGCCCAACCTATGTGTTTAATATTGTCATAAAACAAACCATCCTGGTGTAATACCAACAGTCTTGATAGAATAATGTCTTTTTAACTTTGTTTAGGAGCTACATGAATATGAGTATGCTTTGTTTCTTAAGCATGCGATCCATAGAAAAGAATTTCACTACTTTTGACTGTTGTGTGAAATTTTCTACAACACCTTAAATTTCCACAGAGGTCTCATTTTACAGTCACACATATTTACTATATACAACCATCTTGCCACTTCATCTAACACCAAAGTCCATGTAGTTTGAAGATGAAGCACATCTAGGCCCAAGAGACTCCTCCTGTGGCATTGCGGAGCTAATGCGGAATGTGTGTTGCAGGGTTTCTTCACGTACCTCTATGGGACAAGCATCCTGTTCTTGCTGTATGTTTTCTGCTTCCTGCTACAAGAGAGTGCATGCTGCACAGCAGGTGACTCTGCACCTGCTCCCCCACGACCCCCACCACCACCTCCAATGGAAAAAAAGAAGACCAAAGAGAAAGAAAAGGAGAAAGGGAAGGAAAAGAAGGCAGGTGCACAACAACAACAGGGTCAGCAGCCCCAGGGTCAGGCAGCACGCAACAAAGGCAGCGTGTTTCAGGTAGGGTTCTCAGCACCGAGGTTCAGATTGGGTGGGTTCCTTCACCTCCAAAATGTACAGCAGATTTGGAGGCACAAATCCTCAAATAACATGATATATTTTAAGAAATCACAGTGTAATGCAAATCAGTGTTATGTGAACCACATTCTGTGTAGATTATGGGGGCTTATGTTCTTTGTCCATTCTTGAGTCTTTAGCACTGCATGCTTGTGCATTTCTGTATTCATATGCTTGGTTTCTTTGATGTTCTTTGAGTACAGACATTTTCTTTGATGTGGCCATGGAGTGAGACCAAGTGCTGTGGTTAGTAGGACCTCACATGGACCTATTTTCCTAGCCCTGACATTAGATGAGTATGGGAAATTGGTGGAATGATATTTAGCAGGACACCCCCAGATTTTTGGTTCCGTGTCTAGCCATTATTATATCAAAAATTCATTGTACCATTCTCATCAACAGCTTCTCTCTGCCTACACTGAACAACTCAAGATTTACAGCACACACTATTTCACACATAATCATAGACATGCCTCTGCTGCCTCATCTCACCTTCTCCATTCAGCTACACTCAGGCGAAGACTGTTTTCTTGTGGCGCTTTCTGCTGTTACCCATGTCTTACAATATTAACCGGGTGCCTTCACCTGCAACACAGCCCTCCACGTCTCATGAGTAGTCTAGAAGAAGGGGTTTTCATTAATTCAAGAGGCATGCTTAGGCTAGACAACATCTTTACTGGTCTTTCAGTTTCCCCATCACTGATCCCTCCTCAAGGCTGCTAACCCAGTGTATACCCTCGATAGTGCTGCAGTCTTTTGATGTGCATTATTTATCTACACTTTGGGACGACTAAAGACTAAATCATTCTTCTGGGTGATCACGTTCGAAGGACTTTGCCAAGATGGTTGCAGCTTAGAAGACTAAACTCTGGTCTGTGTCTGGTGGTACTAACAATCATGTTCTCATCCCTGGAATTCAGCAGAGTTGGCTAGGTGGTTGTAGGAAGCCTTCACCATGTTGCTTGCACTGTCTGATGTTGTGGGGGGTACTGAAGTATGCCATGGTAGCCGATCCACAAGGTCCATCCTTTAGTTGGTCATGGGCCAGGGAGAGCCCCAAACAGCAGGTCACAGGGCAGATGAAGCTCCCTCTCGAACACTGTGTTGGAGACCGTTGTGGCTGTTGATACTGTGTAGTGCAGCAGGAAAATGGGAAACCTGCCTTCCTGATCAGCCTTGTGTGTTGAAATGACCTTTCTCATGTTGTAATGTAGCCTTCCACCGTGATATCTGACTGCCAATGCAGAGAAATGGTGCACATTGTACATTTTCTCAGACACCATATAACCTTCTGTAGGAGTTGCAACTATTTTGGTCACTGTACAGTTCCCCTGAGACTCAGACGCAGCAGAAGAAGCTGGTGACAAGAATGTTGGCCAGAGTCAGTGATTCTTGGTTAGGAATGGTAGAGTCTTTGAACGACTTGGTGAAACAGTCCATTGTAACCTAGAAGTGTTAATCTCTCATCTTTCTTCCTGGAAAAGCTTATGTGACATCGATGGAAATCCTCTAGAGATGTGCGCAGTATTTATACTGGTGCATGAGGCCCCGGTTCCAGGTTCAGGGGCTTGGCTTGCTGTGCAGATGCAGCATGGTGGGTTTCATCTCTAAGTCACTCCTTGTGTGTAGCCAATAGCATCGCTGTATAAACTTATCCAGGATTTTGTTGATATTGAAATGTTCTTCCGAAAAACTTCACGAGATCTGCCCCAGTGATTATGTTACTTTGCTTCGGGCAAGTTCCCTTTGACATGTCTTGACCATTGATAGGTCTACTCCTAGTGGTGGCCCAGTACGCCATCTTCCACTGCCAGGGAATTGGTTCAGAATTGGTAGACTTCTGTGAAGGCAATAATGAAAGCATAGGTCAATAAGCAAAGGAATATTCATATCCAAGTGACCAACTATCATCATTCTGAGGGAGACTTAGCAAAATGGAGTTTGTTAGCATCAATGTCATCCTTCACAGTTTTAGGCCTGTTGAGATCTGTTATGGTATTACAAAACTGAATCCTTCCATTGTTTCATAGGTTTTCCAAAGTTTCTCTTTTCTGTAGAATGTTCTTTTACAATCTTATCTTCATCCCTGTCACAGCTTATCCTGCCAAAGCATTAATAACAAGTTTCTTCTGTGTTGTTTTTTAAATCCAACTGTTTGTGAACTTAATATTTCTCTCACAATTTCTTCATTTATTCTACTGTCCAAAAGGGTGTATCCTGCAATCCTCATGAAAACACATTTCTGCTAATTTTAATTTCTCTTGTCAGTTTTTCTTATTGCCTATAGTTCATTGCCATAAAATAATGATGATTTGCAATAGTCATAAATAAAGCTGCATTCTTCTTTGGAGAATGTTATTTCAGTTATCAGCCTTTGAGTCCAGCACACATTTAGAATACCGAAACAGTTATCTATGTTTGAAGAATTGAGCCAAGTTCCAAACACATTCAGCGTCTAAGAAGCAACTCTCAAACAAGTAATACCTTATGAATAAAATTAAGATTGAATTCCATGAAGTGCAACATTGATGTTCATCATAGAACAAAGCCTTTACATGTTTTGGCCAATGATGTTGGGGTGTCTCCCTTGAAGGATAGTAGTTAATCACTTGTGTTATCATCCCATTTATTTATAAATATCCCAGCTCATATTGTGATCTAGTCTCCCAGGTGTCTCTTTCCTTTAGGTTCTCAAACTAAAATATGGCATGCATTTCTCATCTTTCCCATGTGTACTACATGTCTCATCCATCTCCTCCTACTTTTTTCTGATTACCATAATGATGACAAGGAATGCTATTTATGAATCTCCTCATTATGCAGTTTTCTTTGTCATCCTTGTCCTCCCTCCATTTTTAGTTTAACTATTCTCCTCTGCATCCTGTTGTGGAACAACCTAAGTGTATGTTCTTCTGCTAATCTGAGACAAGGTTCCAAACCCATAAAATACAATAAGCAAAATCTTACTTTTGTATAGTTCAGTCTTCACATCCTTGGTTCCTGCCTCCAGTGTGAATTATTTCGATTTCCATTTAGTTCACTTTCGGACAACATGTACCTCCTTTATAGATGTTTCATCATACCAGTTTCATTTGCTACTAACATGATGTTATCATTATCATAATAAAGTTATAGTAACTTGTCTGCCAGAAAAAGATTTATACCGGTCTTTTTTCATCTACCCTGGCAAATCTTGAAATAGGTAACACTGAATTGAGCTTATACATTAATGGGCTAGCCATCTCTACATCTTGACCAAAGTGTTGCCTTAACTTATGGCAATGTACTGTGCTTGACCTGTGAGATAAGTATTATTTTAGTCTGTGTCATTTCCTGTGATGAAATGTCACATGTGAGTGCATATGTTATACCTATGTGAAAAGTGAATCTGTAGAAAGTTGAAAAGGAGAAGATTCATTGTACTTCATTTCTACATAGAAGAAATGTTTATTGGTTTCACTTATATGGGAAAGTAAATCCAGATAACAAAATTCGAGACAGGTCACAAGATTCCACTATACTCATGTGATTAAAAATGGTTACTGGTGGGGTGTGTGTATAGTAGTTTGATTTGTTATCATAGAAGTAATTCTGAAATGCGCATGGAGCACATACTGCAACTGTTTTTTGAGCAGCTGGTAGATGAGTGGCAGTACACGTTCCTGATACTCTTTGTACAACAACCCTTTGAACAAAGTGCTGGGGACAGAATTTTTGTTGTGGTTTGTGGCCAGCACCTCAGCTCATGTGACTTTTATTTATGGCAACCGTAAAGCAAAACAGTTACAGACCAGACTCTTACACAATTGGAAAAAACTGAAGGAAATGATCAGAAGGACACCACATGTGTAACATGAATGTGAACATTTCACAAAGGGCCATGAATATGTGCATAATTATGAAGAGCCTTTGTATGATCTGCCATAATCTTGTCTTGTTTGTAATGAGTTCAAGCTGTCTGAGATTTTCAACAATTTTTGCGGTGCTTGAGCAAATACAAGTATGAAAAAGTAAATGAATGACTGCAAGTAGGCATTGTTCTTTTTAAGTTTTATGATGAAGTGTTTGCCTGCTGTACTTAGCCATTACCTAGGTCACAAAAAGGCCAGGCAAAGCCCACCACCTCTGGTTCCATTTTTGGCATCATGCTCTGAAGATGTTCAAGGTGTCTAATACAAGCTAGAGAGGGACACACTGCCTGTTGGCACCCAGACCTAGTGAGCCTACTATGTTCCAATTAAGAGAGCAATAGGGTAGAAAAATTATTGCCTTAGTGTTGGGGGCAGGGGGGGGGGCAACATTTTTAAGAGAATAAGAGTATATGTAAAGTGAAAGTACATTAAATTAAATTAAACTGAACAGTGCATCAGTAAACAATGCCTCAGCTTCCACAAGCACAGCCTGACAAAATGTCTGGCATGTAGAAAGTTTACTATATAAAAGGAAGTTAAATGGTCTTACTTACTTACTTACTTATGGAGATGAGTCCTTCTGGAGGAGAAGCTAAATCTGCAGCTACTCAAGAATTTCCCAGCATTTTATGGAACCTGAATGTTCATTACCATGTTCACAAGAGCCCTCCACTGGCCTCTATCCTGATCCAGATCAATCCAATCCATACCATCCCATTCTATCTCTCTAAGATCCATTTTAGTTAAATGGTGTTGGCTGCATAAATTAGAAAACATATGATTATCATCGTCTATGGGTAGTTCTCTTTGCTATCACATCTACGTACCTGCAATAGAGTAAAATACATGAGAAAAACATTAGTATGTATCTCAACCACAAATTACAATACTAGAAATATGACACAACTTGAGTTTAGTGACAGTCTATTCTAGAACACAGTTTCTGAAGTAGAATATGACTCAGTTCAGAATGAAACAGGCCACAATTATCTCTACAGAAACTATCATGAAAACAGACAGTAGGCCTTCCTTGTTCTGCATTACCAGAACACAATTCAGCTATCATATGTATGCATAACAAGGTCCCTCTCACTCTAACAGGTGGCCAACTTAACAAACACGCTGGAACATACTTAACTTTAATGTGGCAACACATACCAACATGCACAATTCACCAAACCAAATTTAATAGCAACCCCTCTCACACAGTCTGCTGGGAAAGGGAGGTCTTCTAGGAAACTTCAGGATTCCAGGGGCTTGGGGGGGGGTGGAGATGTGGCAAGAGTGGCTTTACATCAGCACAAGGGGAGACATTGTGACATTGCCTGATAAGGCAGAAAGGACTAAGGTGAATTGAGGCCCCAGAGCTGGCTGTAGGAGTTCAGTCAGGATTAATGGAATAGATCAGTGGTAAAGCTTCATGATCTGGCATAACAAAATGGAACACTGAAATTGAAAGTGTTTGTCTGTGGCAAGTTGGTTCATGTACCGAATACTGACCGAGCTACTAACAGACAGAAATCTGTCTTTCTTCTCTGAGTCTTTCAGCTGCTCTCACACACAGGAAAGATACTGTGCTCGGAAGCACTTTGTGTTCTGCAGTTACATTTGTTTTCTGTCCTTAACCCCTGGAGACATTCTTTATATGAGAGAGTGCATGGCCTTTGAATTCTGTTTAAATAACCAAAGGGTAAAACTACCTGAATGTCGAGTTTTTTCTTCATAAAGCCACCCTCTGGCCCTTCACCATGCCTGTGAGTTAGGCTTCTTGTCAGTACTCAGTTGGCTAAATAAATAGAACAGCCCAAAAGTATTTATTTCAAAAATTGTTTTATTTGATCAAAATTAACAAGACTGTATATATATGTACAAATATTATATTTAGCAAACAATGTTTCTTTTCTACTAACATTATAAAGGTTACTCTAGTTTGGTAGAGTTTTGTTGTTTTGCCTCTAAATTAATTTAAAGGCAAACTTTAATGATATGAGATTTGATGGTCAAACTACAGTGAACACTAAGGCTACTGCCTTCTGGGATGTGTTGCCATTTAATGTGGTGATGATTACCAGTATTCTGGAAGAATCCACCGCTTTCATGTTCTACATTGAAGATGGAGCAGTTGGTTCCTCTGAAATGTTGGTACCCTTCTGCCAGACTAATACAGTACCAGTCCCCAGAAGACTGCAGACTTAAATTGTAACTGTTTCTCACATCTCTGTGCTGTGACAATAAAATCATGCCAGTTGTCACATCTAGCTCACATGTAGTAGTTTCCCATCTCAGGGCAACTAGATATGAAGGTACTGCCAACATAACACACTAATTCTTCAGAGTTCTGCTTGAAACTGAATGCATGCGGCATGTGTTGGTATTTTCTACCGGCATGTCTATGACAGGAACACAAACCCCCACATGGCATGGCCCCTTTCTGAACCCTTGGTGCTGTTTTGTTTATAGCAGCCTTGCAAGCATGAATGATCTAACAACCACACTGTTACTATACTAAACTGCATTTTGTAAGGGTATGCAAATGTTGTTCAGTGAACTTACTACTGAATGGCAGGTTACTGTGTCAGTCTAAGTTTACACTGTCTGATGAAATTTTGTAGCTCAGATATACATGTAGATTCCTTAATTTTCTTTCAAAAAGGAAATTACTTGTGAGGCATGATGTAGAGGTGGTGCTGCCAGGCCTATTGGAGGAAGTCTTTAAAAACAAGGTGTATGCTGTAAAACCTTAAACATTTTACACCGTTGCCACAGTATTTAACATGCAATGTGTTCACAACCTATCTCCATACAAAGTTTTACAACATAGCTCCCGTGGTTCCATACCACCACTGAACCAAAGCTAATGAAAATATTTGAATTGTTTTCATGTTGTTATTTTACATTCAATAACAAATCTTTATTGACAGAAGTTGGG